GAGTCTGCAGTTGCATGAGTCTGCAGTTGCATGAGTCTGCAGTTGCATGAGTCTGCAGCTGTCTCTTATACACATCTAGATGTGTATAAGAGACAGATCCATTTCTTACTGACACCCATGTTGTCCTGATGCCCATTTTGGCCTGACACCCATTTTGTGCTGACACTTATTTTGTCTTGACACCATTTTCTTCCTTACACCCATGTTGTCCTGATGCCCATTTGGTCCATACACCCATTATGTCCTAAATACCCATTTTGTCCCTCCATCCATTTCTTACTGACACCCATGTTGTCCTGATGTCCCAAATGCACGTTTGTGCGCCTACAAGGTAGAGAAAGGGTCGTCAACTAAGGTAGTGAGGGATAAGTAAGAGACATCAGTCCAGATAACGTATCTTGTATACGGGGTGGTAATACATTAGTAACATTAGTACGATACAGAGGTATAAGCTACGGCGTCGACCTGTAAGGTCGGAGAACTCTACCGACACGCTACATCGCGGAGTGCTTATCAGCTACTGGGGGGGCCTTACTTAAGGTTACAAGGCTTTATATAGCCTTCGCTTCCGCCCACTATACTATATTCGCTTTCGCCCACTTCGCTTCCGCCTACTATATTCCGCTAGCCCTTATATAGAATTCGCTTCCGTCCACTATACTATATTCGCTTTCGCCCACTTCGCTTCCGCCCACTATATTCCGCTAGCCCTTATATAGCCTTCGCTTCCGCCCACTATATTCCGCTAGCCCTTATATAGCCTTCGCTTCCGCCCACTATATTCCGCTAGCCTTTATATAGCCTTCGCTTCCGCCCATAACGTGATCAATACACTGAGGTATTGATCACGTGATCTATCACGTGTCTTCCAGATGTGGACTCGTCCTCAATCTCTATCAGGTTAAGTGAATATTACGTCTCAATCACATACAATAATAATAATTATAATGAGACACCAGATTGACACCGGACACTGATGCCCCTTTTTTTCAGACACCCATTTTGTCCAGAAATTCATTTTAGTCAGTCTGTTAGCTGTAACCTCCCCCACACTCACCCGCTTCTCCAGAGCATGGGCAAGTACCCCACTCCCCCACCACTGCCCCCCACCACCCCCCCACTCCCCCAGAGCATGGGCAAGTCCCTGACGTTCCCCCCACCACTCCCCCACTCCCCCAGAGCATGGGCAAGTCCCTGACGTTCCCCCCACCACTCCCCCACCACTCCCCCAGAGCATGGGCAAGTCCCTGACGTTCCGCGGCGCGGTGTACGAGGCGCAGGACAGGCTGCGGAGGCACCGGTGCACGGACCCCTGGTGCGACACCCACATCCTGCGGGTGAAGTGCGAGCTGCAGGCCGCCAGGGGCAAGATCCGCCTGCTGGAGAGGCAGCTCAGCGCCAGGGGCGCCGCCCCCTGCGGGTGAGGTGGTCTGGGGGAGCTAGGGGGACTCGTTTTTGACGGGTGAAGGGTGAGCTGTAGCCGCCCCCTGCGGGTGAGGGGGGTGTGGTGGCGCCAGGTTGGTTAAAGGGATATGGGGGACGCGAGAGAGTGGGGGACGCGAGGGGGACTCGCATTTGGCGGGTGAAGGGCGAGCTGCAGTCCCCCAGGAGGGTTAAGGGTACACATATCTGATGGGTGAAGTGCAGGTGGGATGCCACGGGGACAGGGGCGCCGCCCCCAGCGGGTGAGGGGGTGTGGGGGCACTAAGGGAGTATGGGGGCACTAAGGGAGTATGGGGGACGCGAGGGGGACTCGCATTTAGCGGGTGAAGGACGAGTTGAAGTCCCTCAGGAGGGTTAATGGTACACATATCTGACGGGTGAAGTACGGGTGGGATGCCACTGGGACAGGGGTGCCGCCCCCAGCGGGTGGGGTCTATCCTATCCTTAGTGCTGCATGTTAAATTTACGTATGTGTTCATTATGATATTAAAGAGGATATAATGGTGGTTATAATGAATAAATATTAATAGTGAATGAATTATAAGGAGGTTATTATGAATGAAATACTGCATTATGAACTCCAAGACATTTATTTTGTCTGAAGCACTACTTATAAATGACGCAAAAAAATATCTCAGAACATGTCTCAAAAAACTGTTTCAAGAAATGTCGCAAAAAATGGTCTCGAAAAATTGATGGGATGGTCGGAAATTTAGCTGAAAATTTGCAGTGATATTCAAAGCTATTTTTGGTTTGAAAAAATGGTGAAATTTCTACATGGGCCAGGGTCAATATCCTATCAAACATACAGGGTGAACCAGAATTAAGTAACCCTTTTAATTTGTTAATAAATAAAAAACTAAGAAGGTTATGAAGTTGAAACTTGTTTTATTTAAAAGAAGAACATTTTTATGGTAATATTGTATCCTAGTTTTTAAATATAATATCTTTTAAATGCCCACCACAATTGTTTTGACAAAATAGGGCTCTTCTCTTCGTTGCTTTCATAACCTTCATTAGTAATTTCCCGGTATCCGCAAATTTTCGATAAAGAGATTTAATTGTTTTTTTTTGAAGGACTGATTCTTGTTTTAAAATGGATCCTGTAATCACGTTGAATTTCTGTTATTAACATCGTCCTGATGTAGGTTTGCAGAATTTTCGTTCTTCTTTGCTGTAGCGAATCTTAATGAAACTTTAAGGCTTGATAATTAAACACAAATTTAGCAAGCTATACAGGATAATGACGTAACTATGATACAATATTACCATAAAAATGTTCTTCTTTTAAATAAAACAAGTTTCAACTTCATAACGTTCTTAGTTTTTTATTTATCAACAAATTAAAAGGGTTACTTAATTCTGGTTCACCCTGTACATGGGGTCCACAAATTTGGACCCTATGACCTAAGAAAAAACATTTTTCATAAATCAAATTCTTTCGAAATAAATCTTTAAAAATAGATAAATAATATAAGCATGCCATACTCATTGTATTTTCATGTATTTTACTTCTAATACTTGTTTGTGTAGTGTTCTACATGTGTGGATGTATCGATGTATACTTACGTGTTTATTATTGGTTTTGTTGTTGCTTTTAATCATCGCACGACTCGACAAATGGCAAGAAAATTTCATGAATAAGGGGATGAATTTTTCCATTAAATTTACACTCAAAGAAATGAGTGACACATTGTCCAAATAGCGATGCTCTTATTTAAAGCTTTTGTGGGTCATCCTAACCCAGTTTGGCTCTTCAAAAGGGCGTATCAGTGCTACGTCCGCTGTCACTGCTCGGGACTGAAGGTAAGAAAGTATCACAATTTGGCCAATATAACTCATTTATTTTTCTATTTGATCGGGGATTTAATGTGCCTATTATCCATTTATTGGTCCCGGTACCACACACCGGTACCACACACCGGTACCACATACCGGTACCACATGCCGGTACCACATAACCCCCTCCCCCCGCTCATTGCAGCCGCGTGGGTGGCGGTATCATCGGCCCTCCCGGGGGGGAGGCCATGTTGGGGGAACGGGGGGATGTAGAGGGAGCAGGGAACGCCACGGGGGGGTGTGGGGGGCGAAGTGTGTTTGCTTGCTGTGTCCGGGGGGGCGGTGACCCCCAGCCGACCCCCCTGCTGCAGCCCCCCTACCACCACCAGCAGTCAGCAACCAACATAAAGTGAGTGAGGGGTGGGGGAAAGAGGAAGTAGTGTTGCCAGATGAGGTAGAAATGCACCCTCAACCACGGAGAATAACCCCAACCTGGGATAGTACCGGCAATCGTAGGTAGTACCCACAATCTCAGGTAGTACCTGCAATTTTGAGTAGTATCCGAAATGTTAGATAGTACCCGAAATGTTAGGTAGTACCCACAATCTTAGGTAGTACCTGCAATCTTAGGTACCGTAGTACGCGCAATTTTGAGTAGTATCCGAAATGTCCGAAATGTTAGGTAGTACCCGCAATTTTAGATATTACCCGCGATTATAGGTACCCGCAATCTTAGGTAGTATCCACAATCTTAGGTCTAAGGTGGTATCACAATCTTGGGTAGTTCCCGCAATTTTAGGTAGTACCCACTACTTGAGGTAGTACCCACAACTTGAGGTAGTACCCACTACTTGAGGTAGTACCCACTACTTGAGGTAGTACCCACTACTTTAAGTAGTACCCACAACTTGAGACTACTTGAGGTAGTACCCACTACTTGAGGTAGTACCCACTACTTGAGGTAGTACCCACTACTTGAGGTAGTACCCACTACTTGAGGTAGTACCCAAAACTTGAGGTAGTACCCACTACTTAAGGTTGTACCCACTACTTAAGGTAGTACCCACTACTTAAGGTTGTACCCACTACTTAAGGTAGTACCCACTACTTCAGGTAGTACCCACTACTTCAGCTAGTACCCACTACTTCAGGTAGTACCCAGTACTTAAGGTTGTACCCACTACTTAAGGTAGAATCCACTACTTGAGGTAGTACCCCCTACTTCAGGTAGTACCCACTACTTCAGGTAGTACCCACTACTTCAGGTAGTACCCTCTACTTAAGGTAGTACCCACTACTTCAGGTAGTACCCACTACTTAAGGTAGTACCCACTACTTCAGATAGTACCCACTACTTCAGCTAGTACCCACTACTTCAGCTAGTACCCACTACTTCAGGTAGTACCCTCTACTTAAGGTTGTACCCACTACTTAAGGTAGTACCCACTACTTAAGGTAGTACTACTGTTCATTTTGTGTGGTGTTTACTGTCTGCATGTTAATGTTATTGATGTGATGTCTCATATTCACTTCTGAATGGGGAATATTAATTAATTAATCAAATAAGATATCTGATTGTCTTAAGTTTACATTGAGTGTTCAGATAGTCTGTTGCCGTGACCTACACTCTGGGAAATGGATGAGTCATGTTGTCCAAATAGTGACACACTTTCTGCACGTGGCACTGATACGCATTTTTTTCGGGCTAAAGTGGGTCAAGATGTCCCACGCAAGGGACAAAATTGCATCGTTAGATTTTAATCTATGCACTTGGAGAAATTAGTGAGACTATGTCCAAAAAGCGGTGCACTTCGTGCACCAGTGTGGGTCATACTGACCCAGTTTGGTTTAGCGAAAGAGCGTATCAGTGCTATATCAGCTAAATGCTCTTGCTGTGGGGTTGAAAAGTGTCACTCTTTGACCAACATGATCAATCCATTTTTATCAGTGTAAATCAGTGCTATATACGTCTGCTCTTTGTTCGTTTTAAGAGTAAGAAAGTGTGTCATTATGACCCATTCAGTTTCTTGGACGTGTAGGTTCACCTCAGCCCACTTTCTTAACAGCGCCACATCCCCCATGCCGGCCCACCAGCTCACCAGGACCGAGAGTGTGGCCAAGAGGGACAAAAGTGACGCTCTTGCCCTCCAGCAATTCAAGGAGAAGTTCCTTGAGGGTTGCCGTCTAAAACAGCAGCGAGAAGAACTCCAGCAGCAGCAGCAGTTGCTGAGGAAAACAAGCAGTGGTCGATCCATCACAAGTAGCGAGTATTTCGCCGACGACCAACGTCTGTTGATCAGGTCGCAAGGTTATCCTGATGGGGATGACCCTGCCGCCATGACCCTACCGAAAACAAAGTTCCAGTTCGCGTATTCTTCGTCAGGGTCCGCGGAAGGGTTGGGACTGGACAGCCCTGATAGCCTCATCGGGGTTAGGGGCTCGTTAGCGCCAAACGTGTCAGGTGGACAGGGGTCGGCATGCGGGGTAACAGCTAGAATGGACTCCGCAGGGAAACCTGGTAGAAACGTGGGGCACCATCATCTTGGTTCATCGAAAAGCTTGTTGTCGCTTTTCGGAAATTCCGGGACTTCTTTGACCCGAACGGGGGGGACCCGACCACTGGGTGGAGGGGGTCTAATGGAACTTAGTGGTAGGTCCCTCCACGCGACCAGTAGTGGCCCTGGCAAGTACTCTGACATGGTAGGTGGTACAGAAACCATGCGGTCGTCTACCACTATCTTGGACTCGATCTCCAGACCAACCTTCCCCGACGGGGGGACGACGCTCCCCAGCGGCCGCAGCGGAAGGATCCCCCTGGATACCCTCATCCGAACCCCTCTCGTGGGGCACCGTGCCCCAACACACACAGTGAGCACCCCTCTTCCCCAAGCGTTCCCCCAGAACCCTACCTCTGGCAACGTGCACGTGACTGCCAGAAGCACGAGAAGTGGCATATACGAGTCCCTTGACACCCCCCTGTCCCCTCGGGAGGGGTTATACCGACGAAGGCGAAGTTTCGATGATGACGATGATGAGGACTTCGGACCGACCCCTTACTACCAGAAGGACTTCGGTCCTGGGGCAGCGGCCAGACGATGTAAGTTGCCGTGGTACTAGTATAATGATCATTGTAATAAAATCTTTGAAATGATAGTCAAATACTATCTTATTACAGAGATATATTCCGATACCATCTTATTATAATGATATATTCCGACACTATTTTTTTAAAAATGATTTATTTCAATACTATCCAGTGGAAATTTTATATACAATCTGTTTATAAGGAGCGACCTAGTGTGGCCTTATAACCGGAATTGACTGCACACATATTCTAGGTTTGGCATTTACAGGGAAACTTAATTATTTTAATTATTATTAGAAGCTTGCTTAATTTGAAATGCATCTTTTACGTAATGGTATGATTATCCTAGACAGTTCTGTCTGTATGGTATGCACGAGTATCTTACCCTGTTCTGTATAGTTTGAATATCCTGTATAGTTGTATAACAAAGCGTGTTTTTTCTCTTGTTTTTCAGACGCACGATGATATTCGTGCACGATGATATTCGTACACGATGATATTCGTACACGATGATATTCGTACACGATGATATTCGTACACGATGATATTCGTACACGATGAAATGCGTACACGATGATATTCGTACACGATGATATTCGTACACGATGATATTCGTACACGATGATATTCGTACACGATGCTATTCGTGACTAGATATAGAGCTTATACCATTGCTGTGCTAGCCTAAGCTTCGTGTTCGTATTCGTGTGATGTTTGTTCGTATGTTCGTTACGAACGATTAATGTTTAATGTGTTGCTTAGCATGACGATGTTAGAGAAACATTAGTTGTTAAGAACGCTGGTCAAACGTGTTTAAATTAGTCTTGTAGTCAAATGTTAGTTATACGTCTGTAAGAGTCAGTCAAACGTCAGCCAAGAAAAATTACTCTAACGTCAGCCAAAAAGAGTTAGTCAAACGTCTGTAGTGAGAGTCAGTCAAACGTCAGCCAAAGTTAGTTTGTCAAACGTCAGCCAAAAAGCGTTAGTCTAACGTTAGCCAAAAAGCGTTAGTCAAACGTCAGCCAAAAAGAATTAGTCAAACGTCAGCCAAAAAGAATTAGTCAAACGTCAGTCAAAAAAACGTTTGTAAAATATCAGCCGAATGAAGTTAGTCAAACGTCAGCCAAAAAGAGTTAGCCAAATGTCAGCCAAAAAGAGTTAGCCAAACTTCAGCCAAAAGGAGTTAGTCAAACGTCAGCCAAAAAGAGTTAGTCAAACGTCAGCCAAAATGAGTTAGTCAAACATCAGCCAAAAAGCGTTTGTCGAACGTCAGCCAAAAAGAATTTGTCAAACGTCAGCCAAAAAGAGTTAGTCATACGTCAGCCAAATGGATTCAGTCAAACAAAAAGTTTTCCAATTGAAGTTCGCATTTTTAAAGATGAAGGCCAAAAAATGATCCATTCTAGGTTCTAGAAAAGAAGAAGGGAATTTGCTAGAGGAAACTTATTGGATTAGCCAAATACAGTTTCACATGTTCTAGATCTATTATAGGTGTTCTCTAGAGTGCGTGCTCTAGACCTTGAATTAATTATCTATATAGCTTCGACTGCTAGAACTGTTCTTTGTTCTAGAATAAGAAGTTTTCTAGACCTGTTGAATGTGCTATATAGCTTTGACTGCTAGAACTGTTCTTTGTTCTAGAATACCGAGTTTTCTAAACCTGTTGGATGTGTTCTAGATCTATTATGGGTGTTCTCTAGAGTCCTGAAAGCTCTAGATCTCTTAGGAGTACTCTAGATCTATTTTGTGCTCTGAATCTATTGAGTGTATGTACTCTAGAATACCGAGTGCTCTTGATCGGCTAGGTGTTCTCTAGAGTCCCGAGTGCTCTAGATCGACTAGGTGTTCTCTGAGTGCTCTAGATCGGCTAGGTGTTCTCTAGAGTCCTGAGTGCTCTAGATCGACTAGGTGTTCTCTAGAGTCTCGAGTGCTCTAGATCGACTAGGTGTTCTCTGAGTGCTCTAGATCGGCTAGGTGTTCTCTAGAGTCCTGAGTGCTCTAGATCGACTAGGTGTTCTCTAGAGTCCTGAGTGCTCTAGATCGGCTAGGTGTTCTCTAGAGTCTCGAGTGCTCTAGATCGACTAGATGTTCTCTAGAGTCTCAAGTGCTCTAGATCGGCTAGGTGTTCTCTAGAGTCCTGAGTGCTCTAGATCGACTAGGTGTTCTCTAAAGTACCGAGTGCTCTAGATCGGCTAGGTGTTCTCTAGAGTCTCAAGTACTCTATATCGACTAGGTGTTCTCTAGAGTCTCTAGAGTGGAGTCCTGAGTAGTTCTCTAGAGTCCTGGGTGCTCTAGATCGGCTAGGTGTTCTCTAGAGTCCTGAGTGCTCTAGATCGGCTAGGTGTTCTCTAGAATACCGAGTGCTCTAGATCGACTAGGCGTTCTCTAGAGTCCTGAGTGCTCTAGATGTGTTAGGTGTGTCATCTAGTCAAAATTAATGCTTGCCTAGAGGATGTGTCTAAGTTGCTCTAGTTGCATTGCCTAGATGTCTGCTTCAAAAACTCTTGTTCCTAGAGTTGATTCTAGTGAACAACTAGGTAAGTCTGGGTCATAGAACAAACCAGGCTTGCTCCACTAGTACTAGAAGCTGCACTAGTGATAGGTAATGTTTGCTCAATAGGTGGGATGCGTGACTAGTTTATCTAGGAGGCACCTAGACCTACATGTGCTTATTGTGATGTGTCTTGCCTAGTGCTGTGGTAGTGTGGTACAAACTAGGTGGTGTGGTACCTGCTAGGTGGTGTGGTACAAACTAGGTGGTGTGGTACCTGCTAGGTGGTGTACCTGCTAGGTGGTGTGGTACCTGCTAGGTGGCTGTCTCTTATACACATCTAGATGTGTATAAGAGACAGCTGCTAGGTGGTGTGGTACCTGCTAGGTGGTGTGGTACCTGCTAGGTGGTGTGGTACCTGCTAGGTGGTGTGGTACCTGCTAGGTGGTGTGGTACCTGCTAGGTGGTGTGGTACCTACTAGGTAGAGGGATTTATTTTCGTATAAATTTCTTCATTAAACAGTGAGTTGCAGGGTTCGAGTCTCAGTTAGCTGTAAAAATTGTGCATGAATATTTTATATTCCTATTATTATATTTTTTAATTAATTTTAATATATTTTATCAGTAATATTATATTTTTTAATTAATTTTAACATTTGTTATCATTAAATCTGAAGAAATATTATTATTATTCCATAGTTAATAATGGAAGTTTATAGATAATACACTCAGTAACATAAATTGGTCATATTGTCGAAATAGTGACATACTTTCTTACACATGTAGCACGGACATGCCGCCCTTTTGCCGGCCAAAACTGGGTCAAAATGACCCACGTAGGGCAGAAAGTATATCACTATTTAGACGAAATAACACGGATTTTTTTGACTATATTGATAATTTAATTAATATATATGGGTTTTGTCCAAAAAAGTTGTATGTTGTGGCCTTGATGTGCACTTATTGTTGTTTATGTTGACACTCGACGAAATGAGTGGGTTATTGTCCCAAATAACGATGCACTTTATGTGAGCCTTCCTGGTGAATGTAAAAACTAAGGCAAGAAAAAAAAATGTAGCGTTATTTGCACAAAGTCTCACTTATTTCACTGAGTGAACGATGTTCGCCGCACCTCCAATGTTGAATAACTTAAACGTTATTAAACATTATCATCATCGTATTATTATTTAACTGTATTGAATATTATAATGACTGTTGATATCTGTGCAGAACATTGATATTGTGTTGAAATGAAACTGTACGCCTTACAACTCTTGTTTTAATCCTTAAATACCGGAAGCGGAACTGTTAACGAAATCAATTCAAATTCATACATTATTCCTGTATGAATATGAAAATGGTTTATGTCACTTATCTACAATAACATATTTTAGCGCCCACGGTCGGTAGGTTCATTTAAATTGTCACCGATTAACGTCGATTTAACTTTGTCTGTTCGTCGTATTTTTTTTTGCGTTTTAATCACTGCTGTAAGTATTTTATTATTGCTAGACGCAGTATAACTCCTATGTCTACTTGTTTTAGTTGTGACTATAACTTATGTTTAATAGTTATAGTCACTCAGTAACATACAGTAATACACTCAGTAACATAAATGGGTAACTCAGTAACATACCAATATATCATGTTCAATGTTTACGTCGCCCAGCATTACTACAATTCACCGTAGCCATGAGCATTACTGTGACCTGTGAAGCATTTTATTATAGCTTGTGCCAATCTTTGTTTTATTATTAACGACTTATCACCACACCTCAAGTAAAGTCTTTTGTTTTTGTTACTTTCAGCTTACAAGAACAGTAAAGGAAATAGCACAAGTTCGTTTGTTAACTGCCGTGGCGACATAGCCTTTTACGTGAACTCCCTGGGCATCTGGAATTCATTGAAGTTATCCGTAAACGTTTTCATTGTTTACTCCAGATCATAGAAAATTTGACCACAAATCGTGGGGACGGGGGTAACATTTCTAAAACAGCCTGTAACATATCCGCACTCTAAACCTTAATACAATGAAACGCTTGAATTATTTCACAGTTTAGCGACTCGGGAAAATTTCAGATAAATTCAAACGTACTCCAATACACAGTCGCAGCTTTGTTAAAAATTTGCGTGAAATTGAAGTAAGTGAAAAGTTCCATGTTCACATGACCGTCGCTGTATGTCTGTTTGAATTTTCAGTATAGATGTCCATGTCTTATTATTATCAATAGAAAAATAACGAATGAAACTCTCTACGCCTTTTTATGAATATTCTAGATGTACAAGTTTTTTGTTCTATGCAGCAGCCGCTGAACGTTCATAGTGCGTTTACTGTAGAAAATGTTCAGCGACAGAGGAACCGAATTATGTGAATAGTTTAGTTATGCTCCAAATAAGAAAAAAAATTGTTCGTGCTCAGTAATGGTGGTACGACGACCACTCTCATCACATTATTGCATACGTTTTTAGTTTGCATAAGAAACTCTTATATTTTTGGGGCCTTAAAGTATCCTATGGATATTAAGGCATAATGTCGACGTACTTTTATAAAGTGAAAGGGACGCAGTTGAATTTTAATTGTGCAGAGGAGATTTGAAATGCCCTGAATGCAGAGATAGTAATTATATTGCATTACGCCTCTGATACTTTAAATAATTTTTACTGTAGAGGACTCTCATAGTCTAGTCCTTTGGGAACTTTGGCTATTCCATTACGCGCCATCATGACAGGATAACAACGAACATTCTGTGACGTACGGTTTCTAGAAAGAAAGGACAAATATACAAGAAAAAAGTACGCTATTTACATGAAATAATAATATATGACCTAAAATAAATAAACATAACTGCGTCGAGTAGGCTAATTCTATTGCTACAAATTTCAGAAAGATGGAAAATGGCGGCTACAATTACGCATATGTTTATGATATAAAAATATTTTTTGTCCAGGTTTACTTCTAGCCGTATTAAAATTACTCCATCACCACAGATGAAACTTCTAGCACTTAATTGCGTCAATAAGTCGAAGTGAAACTAATCAAAGCCAAAGTAATATAGGTCTGATGTCAATTATCCACAATAAAATATTTTAGCGCCCACGGTCGGTAGAGTCATTTAAATTATTCTGGCAACATTTTACGGAACGAACGCTACAGCCCGGGAGTAGAACTTAGCACGTCACCGAGTAACGTCGAATTTAACCTTGTCTGTTCGCCATATTCTCACAACAAGAACCAACACCAGGGGCCACGGCTATAAACTAAAAAAAAACTGCGTTGTAACACATCCATGCTACAAAATTTCTTCTCGCTTCGAATCCCCGACATGTGGAACAGCCTCCCCGATGACATCGTTGGCACTCCAAGTATGAACGCGTTCAAGAACAGACTAGATAAAGCTATGGAAAAATATATGTTCAGATTTGAAGTACCTAGCTCCTTATCGAACCCGGTGGAAGTCTAGTAGCTACTTCAAACTATCGCCAGTCATGAAAAGATCCGGTCAAATGACACGATTTTAGATCTTCTATGAACAAGGCACGAAAAGGAAAAGAATCGGCGACAGGCCACATCAGGCCTACATTTCAGCGCCGACATCACTATGTTATGTATTGCTTTTTGCGTTTTAATCACTGCTGTAAGTATTTTATTATTGCTAGATGCAGTATAACTCCTATGTCTACTGCTATATATTTTTTTAGTTGCGACTATATCCCATGTGCCGAAACTATGGATCATGGTCTTTATTTACGTAGTCTAGCATTACTACAATTCACCGTAGCCAAGAGCGTTAGTGCCAATCTTTGTTTTATTATTAACGACTTGTCACCACACCTCAAGTAGTCTTTAAGTTTTGTTACTTTCAGTTTACAAAAACAATAAAGGAAATAGCGCAAGTTCGTTCGTTAACTGCCTTGGCGACATAGCCTTTTACGTGAACGCCCTGGACAGTTTCATTGTACGAAATCAATGAATTTATTATTTATTATATATTGTGGGTAAACAATGAATGCCGTACAATATAAACTTTTATTTCCACTACTCGATGTACAATATTACAAATAATATAAAACATGTACGAAGATGTACACGAAATAGTCCATTTAAAATCCGTACTTTAGTACAACTCCTGACCACACAGTATACCTTGGTTGTGTACATAGATAAAAGTACACAAACTACAGCTTAATGATCGACCATTACATCAACCATTAGGAAAATTAATTGCATCAGCCAGTTTACCATTAAACTGGTACAGGTTTGTCCAATGAAATATCGTTTCAATGGGCAAACCATTTAATCCTTTAGCTCGCCCTGTATATCAATGGACAAACCATTAAACCCTTTAGTTCCCCCAGTATATCAACAGGAAAACCATTAAACCCTTTAGTTCGCCCGGTATATCAATGGACAAACCATTAAACCCTTTAGTTCCTCCGGTATATCAATGGGCAAACCATTAAATCCTTTAGCTCGCCCGGTATATCAACAGGAAAACCATTAAACCCTTTAGTTCCTCCGGTATATCAATGGACACACCATTAAACCCTTTAGATCTCCTGGTATATGAAGGGGCAATCCATTAAACCCTTTAGTTCCTCCGGTATATCAATGGACAAACCATTAAACCCTTTAGTTCCTCCGCTATATCAATGGACAAACCATTAAACCCTTTAGTTCCTCCGCTATATCAATGGACACACCATTAAACCCTTTACTTCATCCGGTATATCAATGGGCAAACCATTAAATCCTTTAGTTCCCCCGGTATATCAATGGACAAACCATTAAAACCTTTAGATCTCCTGGTATATCAAGAGGCAATCCATTAAATCCTTTAGATCTCCTGGTATATCAAGGGGCAATCCATTAAACCCATTAGATCCTCTGGTATATCTATAATCAAACCATTAAACCCTTTAGTTCCTCCGATATATAAATCATCCTACGAAAGCACTTACCGTTTAAACGGTAGTTGGCCCATTAGAGACATTGTATTAAAAGGCTGACCATTTAACCAATAAGTTTGTCCATTAAGGACCATTACCCATTACTATAACCGTTACCGTGGTTACGGGTGACCTATAAAACTATTATAATCGCCCATTACACGCGATCTAAAACTATAAAACAGCTAAATTATGGAAAATAATTGTTGGTTAGTTTATATAGACATGAGATTTAGGCAGACCAAGAGGCGCGGGCCTCGGCATCCAAGAGGCGCGGTCCTCGGCATCCAAGAGACGCGGTCCTCGGCATCCAAGAGACGCGGTCCTCGGCATCCAAGAGACGCGGGCCTCGGCATCCAAGAGGCGCGGGCCTTCCTCGGCATCCAAGAGACGCGGGCCTCGGCATCCAAGAGGCGCGGTCCTCAGCATCCAAGAGGCGCGGTCCTCAGCATCCAAGAGGCGCGGGCCTCGGCATCCAATAGGCGCGGTCTTCAGCATCCAAGAGACGTGAGCCTCGGCATCCAAGAGACGCGGTCCTCGGCATCCAAGAGGCGCGGTCCTCACCATCCAAGAGGCGCGGTCCTCGGCATCCAAGAGGCGCGGGCCTCGGCATCCAAGAGGCCTAGTCTTTGGAGTCGCCGATGCCGTCGGCATAGATGCCGAAGATGGCCTCGGCCTCAGGCAGGCACGGCGAGTCGTAAATCTTGCAGATACGCGTCTCCCCGCGGCCCTTGCGCAGGTACAGCCTGCAAGTACAGTTACAGTTACAGCCTGCAGGTACAGTTACAGCCTGCAGATACAGTTACAGCCTGCAGGTACAGTTACAGTTACAGCCCGCAGGTACAGTTACAGCCTGCAGGTACAGTTACAGCCTGCAGGTACAGTTACAGCCTGCATGTACAGGTACNTAAACACGAGGTTTGCTAGAAATTGATCTACTTTGGTTTCGAATAACTTTAATAACTTGTAGACATTAATAGAGTTGTAACTATAATCAGATAGTTATATAGTTAAATAGAGTTGTAGCTATATAACTATCAGAGAAATATTACTTACTAATAATTAACTTGTTACTACAGACTTGTATTACAGACTTGTAACTGTTGATAAACAGGTAACTATTATGGATTTATTATAATTAATAAACTTGAAAATATAAAATGACGTTAAGAGAGATGTACTATATAATAAGTCGGTATAGTCAATCAATTTTGCTTCGTTCTGCCCCTATTCTCTCAGTGACTGTACACAGCTCTGCTAACTGTGTGCCGCCACTGTTCTCTCCTTGACTGTACACAGCTCTTTTGAATGTGTGCAGCAATTGTTCTCTCATTGACTGTACACAGCTCTGCTAACTGTGTTCAGCAACTGTTCTCTCCCTGACTGTACACAGCTCTGCTGACTGTGTGCAGCAACTGTTCTCTCCCTGACTGTACACAGCTCTGCTAACTGTGTGCAGCCACTGTTCTCCTCTTGACTGTACACAGCTCTGCTGATTGTGCAGCCACTGTTCTCTCTTTGACTGTACACAGCTCCTTTGAATGTGTGCAGCAACTGTTCTCTCCCTGACTGCAGGTACACAGCTCTGCTAACTGTGTGCAGCCACTGTTCTCTCCCTAACTGTACTCAGTCCCGGCGACTGTAGCTCTGCTGACTGTGTTCAGCAACTGTTCTCTCCCTGACTGTACCCAGTCCCGCCGACTGTACACAGTCCCACCGACTGTACTCCATCTGAGCAGCAATGGAGGGTCATTGTTTCGAGGAGCAGATGACCAGAGTTGAAGTGGTAATTACGTGCAGGATATACGACAGGTGTGCCGTCTGGCTGCTTTCAAGTGTCGCTGAAGTTTTGTCTCCACAAGACGTCGTCGCTTGAGTTTTTTTAAGTGCAATGATTGTCTTTTTTTAAGTGCAATGATTGTCTTTTTTTAAGTTCAATGATTGTCTAGTAATTGCAGAGGCTGCGGTGGACGAGGCTCCGATGCTAGTTTCATGCCTACTGCCAGGTGTCTAAATTGCTTGTCTTCATTTCTTTTCTTGAGACAAAATTAATATTTGCTGAGTCACAGGCATCGAGAGTTGAATTGAAATTAGATGCGCGTGACTGAAGCTCTTTCTCTTATACACATCTAGATGTGTATAAGAGACAGGGTTATGAGAGGGGAGGGGGGGGGTTATAAGAGTGGGCTCCATACTGATTGCTGCTGCAGTAATAAACTATTATGTGGGAATGAGTGATCTATCTCTAATGATGTGCCAAAGTTGATGTGGAGAACCCAAGTGAAGTACTACACACTAGTTATCAATTAGTTCTCCATTAGTCAACTGCTAGGCAGCTAGTTATCAATTAGTTCTTTACTAGTCATCAGCCAGTTCCCACTACCTACTCATCCACCCGTCACGCACTAGTCACGCACTAGTTACCTCGTCCGCGTCACTAGTTATCCACCAGTCATGCACTAATCTCAGTAGTCACCCACTAGTTCCACTAGCTATCTATCGGTCACCCACCAGTCCCACCAGTCACCCACTAGTCCTACCAGTCACTCACTAGTCGCACTAGTAACCTCGTCCTCGTCACTAGTCACGCACTAGTCGCACTAGTCACCCACTAGTCCCACTAGTCACCAACTAGTCCCACTAGTCACCCACCAGTCCCACAAGTCACCCACTAGTCGCACTATCCACTACGTCCTCGTCACCAGTCACCCACTAGTCCCATCAGTCACCCACTAGTCCCACCAGTCACCCACTAGTCCCATCAGTCACCCACTAGTCCCACCAGTCACCCACTAGTCTCACTAGTCACCCACTAGTCCCACCAGTCACCCACTAGTCCCACTAGTCTCACTAGTCACCCACCAGTCACGCACTAGTCCCACCAGTCACCCACTAGTCCCACCAGTCACCCACTAGTCCCACTAGTCACGCACTAGTCTCACTAGTCACGCACTAGTCCCACCAGTCACCCACTAGTCCCACCCTGTCTCTTATACACATCTAGATGTGTATAAGAGACAGCTTTACAGTCTTGCACAGTAACTAGTAAGTAACAACACAAACCAAGGCATGAAGCAGTACAACTCAAGTTGATAGTTGATACTGGCAATCCATTAAGTTAACTACTAAAAGTCTAACCCAGTGGTTCCCACAGTGAGCGGTACAGGCGNCAGCGTGGCCTGGGACTGCTACGTCCATCGTGGCCTGGGACTGCTACGTCCAGCGAGGCCTGGGACTTCTACGTCCAGCGAGGCCTGGGACTGCTACGTCCAGCGAGGCCTGGGACTGCTACGTCCCAAACAAATACCAATTAATACTAAATACTAAGAAATACCTGGCTTCAGCCATCATGGCTGCGGCCTGCACCAGTAGCTGGCTCTGATGGTCGCTGTTGTAGGCCCGTGCGTAGGCGACGTTATCGAGGACGTCGGCGCCGTTCAGCCCGTAGCGTTCAGACGTCGCCAGCAGACGTTCCGGTCTGAACGTCCCTTCCGTGTCGACATAGAGGCACTTGCCTTCCCCGCCCCCCATCTCCAGGGGCAGCTGCAAGTTACAATTAACTTTGTTAAATTTAATATATTTTATCCCTGCAAGTTTCAATTAATTGATTAATTAAATATTTTTCATTGCTGTAATCAGTTCATTGATTAATAAATTCACTTTGAATAAATCTTCTCCGCCCTCCAGCTCCAGGGGCAGCTGCAAGTATTAACTTGATTAATTAATAATCAAGTATTAAGTATTAATTAATACATAATACTTGATTATTAGACTATATTAATTAAGTAGTAAGTATTAATTGACTGTATTCATTATCAACAAGCTCCAATTAACTTGATTAAATTTAATATTTTTCATCACTGTAATGAGTTCACATATTAGGCAATTGCCTTTGACTTATATATTTCATTAATCGAATATTACAAAGATGAGCTTTTGTACCTTCATTGACATGGATGAACTATATTATATATTATTAAATAGATGTTATATATTATTAGATATATAGTATTTATTATTACATATATGAGAGATATATAATTGACATTCACAGTAGATTTTTAGTTAACTTTTCTCAAAGGTTTATTGTTAACATTTCTGGTACTTTTTTATTAGCATTTCTGAAATATTTGCTATATCTCTAATCAATCAATATAAAAAAATATAATAAAAAATAAAATCCCTTTCTTGCAAACATTATTCAGCAGAAAATTCACAGCAGAAAATCCACTGCAAATTAAAGCAGATGTAAAGTGGGTCGCCCGTACCCACCTACATAAAGTGGGTCGTCTGTACCCACCTGACAGATCTGTAAAGTGGGTCACCCATACCCACTTACATGTAGTGGATCGCCCGTACCCACCTGTGTAGAGTGGCTCCCCCGTACCCACCTGTGTAAAGTGGCTCCCCCGTACCCACCTGTGTAGAGTGGCTCCCCCGTACCCACCTTTACCCACCTATATAAAGTGGGTCCCCCGTACCCACCTATATAAAGTAGCTCCCCCGTACCCACCTATATAAAGTGGCTCCCCCGTACCCACCTATATAAAGTGGGTCCCCCGTACCCACCTATATAAAGTGGCTCCCCCGTACCCACCTATATAAAGTGGGTCACCCGTACCCACCTGTATTAAGTAGCTCCCCCGTACCCACCTATGTAAAGTAGCTCCCCCGTACCCACCTATATAAAGTGGGTCGCCCGTACCCACCTGGCATGTAACGGCCAGGGTGTGGCACAGCTGGGTTTTGCCCGTCCGAAATTCCCCGAAAATTTCAGTTATTGAGCCGGTCTCTATACCGCCTCCTAGCAGCTTGTCCAGCTCCTTGCTGCCTGTAGTTAACTGAATAAATATTATTATTAATAACTGCATAAATACTATTATTAATTACATATTATTAGCCATATTATATATATATATACATGTTATTGAGCCCGTCTCTATACCGCCTCCTAGCAGCTTGTCCAGCTCCTTGCTGCCTGTAGTTAACTGCACAAATATTATAATTAATAACTGCATAAATACCATTATTAATTACATATTATTAGCCATATTATATATATACATATTATGAGCCGGTCTCTATACCACCTCCTAGCAGCTTGTCCAGCTTGTTAACTGCACAAAAGGTTTCAGTTTAACAAATGTTATATTGATGTTAATTAAGTAGAGTTTATATTATCATAAATCAAGTTGACATTTCCTGCACCTGTATGATCTCGGATCTAACTTAATTAAATAAGCTAAATCTTATTAATCTTAACCTATATTAAGAGTTAAGTTAATTCAAGTTTAATTAATTAATTCATTAAGTAAATTAAGCTAAGTTTAAATTATCATAAATCCATTCCACATCCCCCCACCTGTATGATCTCAGATCTCTTCTGGTGGAACTCTGTGGCGGTGGTGAAGCCCATGGGCACGAGCTTGCCGGCCTCTGCCATCACCTTGTCTGCCTTTGCCTCACTGATGCCTTTAGTGACATCAATATCATCATATTATATATACATATTATATATCATATTATATATCATATTATATATACAAGCCCATGGGCACGAGCTTGGCAGCCTCCGCCATCACTTTGTCTGCCTTTGCCTCGCTGATGCCTTTAGTGACATCAATTTACCATCAATAATTACATCCATCAATAATTATATAAATCAATAATTACATCCATCAATAATTATATAAATCAATAATTACATCCATCAATAATTATATAAATCAATAGTTACATCAATCAATAATTTACATCAATTATTTACTTCAATCAGTCAATTTATATCAATCATTAATTTAGATCAATAATTTATATCAATTATTTTACATAAATTATTTTACATCAATTATTTACATCAATCAATAATGGCATCAATTTAATGGCATCACTTGCCTTTAATGGCATCAATTTAATGGCATCACTTGCCTTTAATGGCATCAATTTAATGGCATCACTTGCCTTTAATGGCATCAATTTACTGGCATCATTTACCTTTAATGGCATCAATTTACTGGCATCATTTACCTTTAATGGCCAGTAGACTCTTCTTGGGGGCAAATGCCACGGCCTCTACAGTGCAGTAGCCGGCCTCCTCCAGCTTCTTGATGTCACTTGCTGAGATGCCGTGTTGCTGTGTTATATAAATAAATAAATAATATTAATAATTTAAATGACGTGTTGCTGTAAAAGAAATAAATAATTTTAATATTGTGTTGCTGTAAAATAAATAAATAAATAATTTAATAATTTAAATGCCATGTTGTTGTAAAATAAATAAATAATTTAATATTTTATATGTTGTGTTGTTGTAAAATAAATAAATAATTAATTTAATAATTTAAATGCCATGTTGCTGTAGAATAAATAAATAATTTGAATAATTTAATAAATAATTTTAATGTTGTGTTGCTGAAAAATAAATAATTTAAATGTTGTAAATCCTCTCTCTAAAATCTAGTGAGTGATCAAGTTAACCAATACATAACTAAACATAACTTTTAAATGAAGTAAAAGATACTATATAATTTTTAATAGTACACTAAAACACATATAGCTTTTAAATAAAGTAAAACATACGGTACCTATATAACTTCTAAATAAAGTAAAACATATATAACTTTTAAATGAAGTAAAACAAATACAGGTTGAAAATAAAGTAAAACAGATATAACTTTAATTGAATAGCACAAAACCCATATCCCCACACTACCACAGTGGCAGTAAAGTAAAACATATATAACTTTTAAATAAAGTGGAACATATATAACTTTTAACTAAAGTAAAACAAATATAACTTCCAACTAAAGCAAAACATATATACCTATCATTTAAATGAAGTAAAACATATATAACTTCTAAATAAAGTAAGACAAACAACATAACTTTTAAATAAAGTAAAATGTGTAGGTATTATTCTAAATAAAGTAAAACGTATGTAATTTTAATACCGTAACACAAAACCCAAAACCCTATACAGCCACAGTGGCAGTAAAGTAAAACATATATAACTTTTAACTAAAGTAAAACATATATAACTTTTAAAAAAGTAAAACAAATATAATTTTAATTGAGTAACACATATAACTTTTAAATGGAGTAAAACATATATAACTTCTAAATAAATTAAAACGTATTTAATTTTATTGAGTAACACAAAACCCATATCCCCGTACAGTCACTCACCTCCAGCCTGGCTTTAAATGGAGTAAAACATATATAACTTCTAAATAAAGTAAAACAAATATAATTTTAATACAGTAACACAAAACCCATATCCCTGTACAGTCACTCACCTCGAGCCTGGCTTTAAATGGAGTAAAACATATATAACTTCTAAATAAAGTAAAACAAATATAATTTTAATACAGTAACACAAAACCCATATCCCTATACAACCACTCACCTCGAGCCTGGCTATGAGCACGGGTCCGCACTGCTCGTCCTCCTGCTGCGTCTGCTGCTGCGCTCCTGAGGAGCTAGCACGCTCCTGTTGAGCTGACATCCCTGGTCCTTATCTGTTCAATAGGATATTATAATTATTATTAGAGTAATGTACCTAATATCTGGGTAAATAATAGGATACCGGTATTATTAGAGCAATGTACCTAATATCTGGGTAAATTGAGAAGTGACATCCCTGGTCCTGATCTGTTCAATAGGATATTATTATAGTAACGTCCCTAATATCTCAGTAAATTGCTAGTGATCCAAACTAATAGTTACTTACTAGTAGGGAAGGAAGCAATCTCCAAACTAAAGGTTACTTACAAGTAGGGCTGGAACAGGAGCGTGCGCTCCTGAGGAGCTTGCACGCTCCTGTTGAGCCGACATCCTTGGTCCTGATCTGTTCAATAGGATATTATTAGAGTCATGTCCCTAATATCTGGGTAAATTACCTAATATCTGGGTAAATTCCCTAATATCTGGGTAAATTACCTAATATCTGGGTAAATTACCTAATATCTGGGTAAATTACCTAATATCTGGGTAAATTACCTAATATCTGGGTAAATTGAGAAGTGACATCCCTGATCCTGATCTGCTCAATAGGATATTATTAGAGTCATGTACCTAATATCTGGGTAAATTGCTAGTGATCTCCAAAATATAGGTTACTTACTAGTAGGGCTGGGAGTGAGAATAAACTACTAGTGTTCTCCAAACTAATGGTTGCTTACTAGTAAGGCTGGGAGTAAGGTTAAAATACTAGTGATGTCCAAAATAAAGGTTACTTACTAGTAGGGCTGAGAGTGAGGTTAAGTCCAAAAATAGCCAATTAGACATACAACTTGACTTTACAGACAATAAGCATGTTAAAATTTTATTGCTGTTAGCAAGCTGCTTAGCATGATTAAAAACCATGGGCTGTTAATTAAAATGTTTTGCAAGTAGAAATTTTTTGATCAAAACTTCAAAACTTGTAACTTCAAAATTTTATGAGGAATTTCAAAAATTTTTGGTGCTTGATGGCAAGCAGCGCAGTTTCCAATCAAAACACAAAGCCATGACTTCAAAGCTTCAAGATTCTCAATAACTGAAATTTTCTGATTCTTGAATCAAGCGGTTTTAGTAAAATGTAGAACTTTTCAATCATGAATTGCTATAACATAAAGCAGCCAAATAATATTTAGGTTAAATTAAACTTTTAACAAAAATATTATGACTTCATGGTTACGTTTTTTATATATTTTGAATTTTGCAGCTCAATTGTGCACTTTTATCAACAATTAGAATTGAGATGTATGATTCACACAGCAGAATTTAAAAAAAATTTGTTGTTACAAAAATCTATGGAAAGTCCCTAGCTGAAGTTATAGATCAGATATTTTATGCACCTGTCTGACATCCAATCAGGAATATTAGGCACAATTGCCAAAAACTATAGGAAAAATGTGTGCTTTTCTTCATTTTCTCAAATTGCCCTGAAGCAACTTGGCATAAAGCAATTTACTAGTTTGGCCTGACGTAAAGACAAGCCAACCTGGAATTTTAGGCAGAATTTTCAAAGCCTGTGGCCACATTAAATTTGTAGCAACCAGAGACTTTGTAGCAACCATCCATAATTCTTGATTTCATCCACTAAACTAAAGAAATAGGCTCAATTTTGTCAACCTGGTTAGCTAAGTTTTAGTGATGTTCAGTTCCTCAGTTCATCACTAGCCCTGAACCTGTAAACAATAAGTTTGCCTCACACCATACTCCAGCCTCTCCCTAGCCTCTGAGTGTCTTGAAAACTTTCAGCATTGGCAACTTGATCTTTACAACTTTTTAGAGCATTTTCTCTTTATAGAAAAAATGCACTATTGTGCTCGCCATGTCTGTCTGTCCGTCCGTGACTTCACTTTTTTGTCGATTTAAGAAGCGGGCATGCCTGTATCAAAGATACAACATCTTTTGCTCTAATGCACTGTACTAATTGCAATGAAAACTGATTTACGCATGAAAAAATGCACGCTCTGTCACTCACTGCCGTGAGTACCGACTTATATTTTTTTAGACTCTTCCTCAAGTTTGTTTTTGAGTCCTATGAGTAGCCCATTAAAATATCATGGATACCAGCATTATTTTACATAAGATGCTGGTTTAAATCTCAACTCGAGTAGATGTGGAAGTTACAAGTATACTGATTATAAAAAAAATCATCTGGTTTGCTGCTATGCCTGTCAGCTAGTCTGGAAAAGTCATATTTTTGTCTGAAATATCACGGCTCTAATATCATATAATTTCAGTAGGTATGAAATCTTGCGGCTCAAATGTCATAAATTTTTGTTTGATTAAAAAATCGCGGTTTGCACTTCGCAAACATGTCATTTCATAAAATTTTCAACTTCCGCAATCCGCATTGCTTTACCGTTCCTGCCAAAAATATCTTGCAGAAAAAACATAAACATTGTAATGTAAACAAATCAACGAAACGTTTTGTTGAAGATCTCGCATAGTTGCGGTCATGTCAAAGCGGTCAGACTGCATTAACGTATGCTGAACTTACCGTAGACCCAAATTTTATTGTTGCCGTTTGACTGTTTAAGGGTAAAATTAGAGATTTGGGGTAACACGTGCATGGACTTTGTAAATAAATTCGCACCTTGTAAATGGCTTTTCATGGCCGAGATATGGAATTCACATCTCGGTGAAATAGAATCACGGCTTGAAGAAATGGAATCACGGCTGGCAAATCCATAAAACCACGGCTCAAAAAATTCAGTCGTGGCTTGCCAAGTAGATATATTCCATGCCTGCCTGTCAGGTATGAATTATTTTTTAATGCCTATTTTTTCAACATTGAAGGCAAAAATATTAAATTTTCATTCATTGTTACAAAATAAATTGCGTAAGGGTTATTAAAATGGGCAAAAAAATTCATCAAAGATCATAACTGGAAAAATGGGTGGCAAACATCTGTAAATCAGACAAAAACATCCGTAAATCCAGGCATGGAAGATATCTCATAATCTTCCTTCTTTAGAGCCACAACTAGAGCTTTCTTATCATTTTTGAACTCAAACTTGAACTTGAAGCCAAAATAACAGCAACATTCCCACTAGATTAATTACCTCTTAATTATTAACAAAGGTATACAAATTGGTCTGTATGATTCCAAATGTATGAAAAATTTGTTACTTTGTAATCACAAGATTCCTTATAGTGATAAAAACTGATGATATACTGACTGATATAGAAGTGCAACTTTGATAGCCTAGTATATTCCTTACTCCCTACGCTGCCATGCACTCGTCGCACTGCATCATCGCAACTGATATTCTTTTGATATTCACCCACTTTCTGCACCTTGGACATCTTTTGTGAAATCTAAGAAAATCAGCTGATTTTTACCAGCTATTTTTAAAAATAAGCAGTGAAAAAATAGTTTTTACCCACAATTTTAGAAAATTTATCTCTGATATTCCAAATTAATTAGCACTCATTCATCCTCAGTGAAACTGTGAAATCTGTATCTGTCAACTTTTAGGAGTTTCAAAGATAGGAATAAAGAGAAGACCATTCCAATTTTCCCCTGGAATTATGAAAAATAAAAATATATAACAAAGTACTATCAACAAAGTTGATTAATTTACAAGCTCCAAGCCTCCAGGCTCCAACTTCATCCAAGAACTCTGACTCAAATAATATAGGAAATTGCAAGGTTGAAAATTCACTGAAATCACAAGATTTTAGAGTCAAAATATTTAAGAAAAGAAAGTAAAAACCTTAACAATTTAATGTATTTTTTGTTAGTGTTAATTGTCAAACTTCAAAGATTTGAATTTTGAATATTATTTTAGTATAATTTTACCCAAAAAATACAGGCATGTTACGACTTGTACGGTTATTGTACTTAGTAAACAAATTATGAAATAGGCCTACCTACCTAAGTAATAACTACTAATAAGACAAGTATGAAGTATTATAGCCATATTTATAGCTATAGGCAATAATTCTCATTCATGAAACTTAAAGCATATCAGTTGTCATTTTACCCCAGCAAACATTATAAAAACTGTATTGAATTATTTATATGAAATACATACATACTTTTCAATGGAATACTTTTGTTAGATACTCGTCTGGTCGTCTCGGCAGTGATTTGAACACAACGCTTCAAGCTTGCAGAATACTTGCTTCTCTGCCGTCCCCAGACGACTGACTCGTTTCTACACGTTACTGACGTTAGAGGAAATCTTTTCAAACCTCGCGCGTCAAATTCCGGATCCGTTGCACTAATTTTTTTAGAAAAGGTAATTTAAATTTGTAATGCATTTACTTGATTCGAAACGCCAAATAACTAGATTGCAACTAGATAAAAACAATCAATTGTTGGTAAAAACTATCTTAACCTTCTACTCATCACTATATGTGGCTTATCCCTAACATAAGATATTTTTTTCTGACATAACGTGTCAAATGACTGACAATGATTTTGAAACATATCTAGAGTTTGTAGATTTTCGCTATCGATTCTAATTCTGTTCATTTTAAATTCTCTGCCATATTGAGATATTTTACTGCTCCAAGATGAATATGAATTGAAGTAAAAAGTATTTTCCCTTATTGTTAGAATAAACATATCATTTGTTTGTAACTCTTACTTCGAGTTGTCGGATTCCACTGTAATTTCTAGGTTCCTTGCCCTAGTTTCCTGTATGCGGAAGCACCCACTTCACCCATCGGACTCTAGGTTTGTGTCTTCGGCTGGAAGAGGTCCTAGCCGCTCCTATGGCGTTAAATTGAACCTTTAAGATAAAATATAAGGTGTCATTCCACTCACAATTTGCTGGAGGAGGTCCTAGCCGCTCCTATGGCGTTAAAGTAAACCTTGACGATACGACATAAGATTTCATTACACCCACAATCTTCGGCTGGAGGAGGGCCTAGCCACTCCTATGGCGTTAATGTAAACCTTTATGATAAGACATAAGGTGTCATTCCACCCACAATCTTCGGCTGGAGGAGGGCCTAGCCACTTCTATGGCGTTAAAGTAAACCTTTACGATAAGACATAAGGTGTCATTCCACCCACAATCTTCGGCTGGAAGAGGTCCTAGCCACTTCTATGGCGTTAAAGTAAACCTTTACGATAAGACATAAGATTTCATGCCACCCACAATCGAGATATTACAATGCCGTCGAATCGTGAACTCCTTACACTTATGATATTCCAAATCACCATCAACTGAGTTACAAAAACTAATATTTCAAAAACTAAATATCAACATTTTTTACTCGGACGAATAGGATAAAAAACACAGTCGTCATCTGTTAGTAATCTGTTCAAGTGACTGCATGAAAAAAAACATAATCAGCTTTTCCAATAAGCTTAATTGTAAAATACACGGTGTGTATAAATTCCCATCAATGTCTCTTTTGAAAGAAAATTTTGAATCCGTCAATAAGTCACACAATTCCAGCGGAAACTCAACATGAAACATTATTACATTTTATATTTTTATACATAAACTCGAAATAATAGTCATTATATAAGTCGCTTCTTATCTATCCATCACGCCAGTGTTCATGAATAAGATATCACTCATAGAAATTAATTGGGTAGTTGTCTAAATAGTGACCCACTTAATTCGTTACCAGCAGCACCAGCAGCGAGCGGACGTAGCACTGATGTACTTTTTTGCTGGCCTAAACTGGGTCAGGATGACTCACACAAGCGTATAGCTATTTGAAAAGTCTCACTCATTTTCCTTTGCAAAGCTCATGTGACATTATTTGGGAAAAAATACTTAGGTGACCACGAACAAACTAAAACTTGGACATGACTTGTAATCGCAAGCCAACACCTAAGTCAAGTGGTGCTCCACACGTGCCACTGTGTCGATATATATACGCTAGATATTTAATCCTAACCCTCTACAACCCTACACTATCGTTGTGACCCGGGGCCATACTTTCAAAACTTGCTAAGTGAACGTAAGTACTTACGATCTATTTTCTTGTCTATGATTGGTGGATTTTGCTTGAAAGGCCGTCAATGATTGGCTGATAAACTTACGATCTCTTAACTTTTTTTGACGGTATAGGCCCTAAACTCCAAACACCCTTGCACCGTCGGTGTGACCCGAACTCCAAACACCCCGGCACCGTCGGTGTGACCCGAACTCCAAACACCCTTGCACCGTCGGTGTGACCCGAACTCCAAACATCCCGGCACCGTCGGTGTGACCCGAACTCCATACACCCCTGCACCGTCGGTGTGACCCGAACTCCAAACATCCCTGCACCGTCGGTGTGACCCGAACTCCAAACTTCACTGCACCGTCGGTGTGACCCGAACTCCAAACATCCCTGCACCGTCGGTGTGACCCGAACTCCAAACTTCCCTAGACCGCTGTCTCTTATACACATCTAGATGTGTATAAGAGACAGATCATAAGTGACAAAACTTTATCATAAGGGACGAAACTTCATCATTAGTGATGAAAATTTATTACAAGTGACGAAACCTTAACATAAGGGACAAAACTTTATCACAAAGGACGAAACTTTAACATAAGTGACGAAACTTTATCATATGTGACGAAACTTCATCATAAGTGACGAAACTTTATCATAAAGAACGAAATTTTATCATAAGTGATGAAACTTTGTGATAAGTGATGGAACTTTATCATAAGTGACGAAACTTCATCATAAGTGACGAAACTTCATCATAAGTGACGAAACTTTGTGATAAGTGATGAAACTTTATCATAAGGCACGAAACTTTATCATCATAAGTGACGAAACTTTATCATAGGTGACGAAACTTCATCATAAGTGACGAAACTTTATCATAAGTGACGAAACTTTATCATAAGGGACGAAACTTTGTCGTATGGGATGAAACTTTATCATAAGGGACGAAACTTTGTCATAAGGGACGAAACTTTATGATAAGCGGCGTAATTTTATTATAAGCTGCGAAACTTTGTCAGAAGGGACGAAACTTTATCATAAGTGCTGAAACTTTATGATAAAAGACGAAACTTTATGAAAAGCGACGAAACTTTGTGATAAGCGGCGAAACTTTATCATAAGTGACGAAATTTCATGATAAGTGACAAAGCTTAATGATAAATGACGAAACATCATGATGAGTGACGAAAATTTAGCATGAGTGACGAAGCTTTATCGCAAGGGACGAAACTTTACTGGAAGGGACGAAACTTTATTGGAAGTGACGAAACTTTATGATAATTGACGAAACTTCATGATGAGTGACGAAACTTTATGATAAATGACGAAACTTTATCATAAGTGACAAAACTTCGTCACAGCGATGAAAAGTTATCTTAAGTGACGAAACTTTGTCATAAGTGACGAAACCTTATCATAAGCGAATAAACTTTATCATAACTTCATGATAACTTTATCATAGGTGACGAAACTTTATTATAGGTGACCAAACTTTATGATAAACGACGAAATTTCATTATAAGACACGAAACTTGATTACAAGTGACGGAACTTTATCATAACTGATGAAACTTTTGCAAGCTATATGGGCAAAAAACTGTCTCACTATTTGCATAACTTGACCCATTCTTCTTTCTGAGTGATATTAGGTTAGGTTAGATTAGGCTAGGTTAGGTTATGTTAGGTTAGGTTAGGTTAGGATAGGTTAGGTTTGGTTAGGATAGGTTAGGTTAGGTTTTGTTAGGTTAGGTTTTGTTAGGTTAGGTTATGTTATGTTATGTTAGGTTAGGTTAGGTTGGGTTAGGTTATGTTAGGTTAGGTTAGGTTATGTTAGGTTAGGTTAGGCTAGGTTATGTTAGGTTAGGTTAGGTTAGGTTAGGTTAGGTAGTTCAGTGCTGTAGCCTGCTAAAATACCGACCTGCAATGCGTATAATAAAACCTCCGTAATTTTAGAGCACGTACAAGAAAGATACGATGAGTACATTAGTGCCCCGACTAACTACTTCACTTCCATTAGTGCGTCCATTAGTGTCGTGATCTGATGGCCGCTTAACTTGAGTGCTATTGGAGTGGCCCTGAGGAAGGTGAGATATCCATATGCACAATAGTTCATATGTTGGCCTGGGCATCGGGCAGCTTTGGTGATGATGGCCGTTAGATGATGACTGCTTGATGATGGGGGTGATGATGGCCGTTAGATGATGGCTGCTCGATGATGCACAATACTTCGAAGATTGAACGACACGCAGCTCATGTATTTTGCCATGTGCTGTGTCATGTGCTATGCCATGTGCTGTGTCATGTGCTGTGCCATGTGCTGTGTCATGTGCTGTGCCATGTGCTATGCCATGTGCNGGTAAAGCAATGCGGATTGCGGAAGTTGAAAATTTTATGAAATGACATGTTTGCGAAGTGCAAACCGCGATTTTTTAATCAAACAAAAATTTATGACATTCGAGCCGCGAGATTTCATACCTACTGAAATTATATGATATTAGAGCCGCGATATTTCAGACAAAAATAGGACTTTTCCAGACTAGTATAGGAGTAGGTAATAGGACTCAAAAACAAACTTGAGGGAGAGTCTAAAAAACTCTCTGCTTTGCCACTATGGCAGGAACAGTAAAGCAATGCGGATTGGGGAAGTTGAAAATTTTATGAAGTGACACGTTTGTGAAGTGCAAACCGCGATTTTTCAATCAAACAAAAATTTATGACATACGAGCCGAGAGATTTCATACCTACTGAAATAATATGATATTAGAGCTGCGATATTTCAGACAAAAATAGGACTTTTCCAGCCCTGTATGGCTGCTGATATGAAGCTTGCTGTGGACAAGGTTGTTGTCAATGCTCAATGGCATGTCCAAGAATACGGTAATACTGCATCACTAATACGGTAATTTATGGACATGGTAATATCATATCAATTTATTAATAATAACAGAAAATGTCATTTATCTACATCTACAGAGGAAGAGAAGGACCTCAGAGTACTGTTAGTAATTGATGATTACACTCTGCATGCTTCAAAATTAAGTTTTATTTCAAGTTTCCCTGATTACCCCATTCCCAGGGTCAATTAGGGACGCTTTTATTTTGCGTCTGGCACCTTATAAATCGCATATGAAATTTTTTGGAGATGATGTACCGTATCCCTTGCAAAGGCCTTTAAAATGAGCCTAAACTTGTTCATGAAATGTTCCATGATTGGAAGTTATAGACAAAAATCCCTCAAACGCGTCCCT